GGAAAGTAAAATTTCATTTTCTTTCAAAAGCGGAGTTTTTGTTCAAAACGGGACATGAGTCTGGAGCCCCATTTCTAAATTACACGCGTGGCTGTATCATTTAAAGGTTGCGTGTCAAAGTAATGAAATTTAAGAGGCATTGTATTGGTAAAAAGTTATAGGTAATAAATATATATAAAAAAGTAATGCATTGATTGACAGATCTCCGTTTCACTATAAAGGTAATAACTGGAGGGATGGAAATTTTGAAATCTGCCTCTTTCATTCAATTCCAGTGCTTACAATGTAAGGGATATTGCTCAGTGTAAGGATTGATTTCTACACTTACAATTTAAAAATCAATGGCATATACATTTCGAAATCCAAATCTACTTATGAATGTCAGTACTTTAAACGTAAATATTGATCAATACATAGATTAACGGATTTTCATCCCCGCGTTTAAGAGAAAAATGGGCGGGATGGAAATTTTGATATGTAACTCTTCTGATTAATTTTAGTCCTTAAAAATGTAGCCTACGTTAATCAAATTATAAAAATTTAAAGATTAATTGCATCAAAAAACAGGAATTATGGAAAAGGTGGAGCAGTCCTGAAGCGGTGCATAACGTTTGCGCACAATTTTTTTACCGATAACGTTTGCGCACACTTTTCACGAATATCATTTGCGCACACTTTTTACCGATAACGTTTGCGCACACTGCACTATTTGGCAACGCTGCAATGATGCGTCAGTAGTATCGCTTCGTGATAAGACAATTCAACGGACGGATAATTTATAAACGGACGAGGGGAAATTTTCATTTAAATAAATTCCAATAAGCAATCAATAAGTAAATGAATAAATAAGTTAATAAGAAGAAAATAGAAAATGAAGAAAGTTAAGAAAATAAGGTATATGGTTACTCACCGATTTTTCGCTGTTACTTCAGCTAAAAATGCTGTCACTGTCTTCACCGGAATCATCCTCAGTGCAAGGACGGGTTTTAGGGCTGTTTTTAGGGCAGGTTGCATTTGAAGAGCAAGTTTCATCAGCACCATTTTCAGAAATGGATTCAAAAACAGCCCTGAAACCCGTCCTTGCACTGAGGATGATTCCGGTGAAGACAGTGACAGCATTTTTAGCTGAAGTAACAGCGAAAAATCGGTGAGTAACCATATACCTTATTTTCTTAACTTTCTTCATTTTCTATTTTCTTCTTATTAACTTATTTATTCATTTACTTATTGATTGCTTATTGGAATTTATTTAAATGAAAATTTCCCCTCGTCCGTTTATAAATTATCCGTCCGTTGAATTGTCTTATCACGAAGCGATACTACTGACGCATCATTGCAGCGTTGCCAAATAGTGCAGTGTGCGCAAACGTTATCGGTAAAAAGTGTGCGCAAATGATATTCGTGAAAAGCGTGCGCAAACGTTATCGGTAAGAAAAGTGTGCGCAAACGTTATGCAGCCTCCTGAAGATCGTGTGGCCCGAATAAAGTTATACCAGAAAACTTGAATGGTCAGATATATATTTCGGCTCTTTTGTAATTTACCTATGTTGATTTTAAGGTTCTGTAGGAGTTTGGCGAGACTATAGGTTGTAAGTAAGTTGGAATTAGTCAGCTAACGTGCGTTATAAAGCAAGAAAACTGGAAATCTCAATACAGAGAGAAAAAGCTCATTTGAGCACAATTTTCCCTCAAAGAGGTACGCTGTTTGGTGCAACTCTAGTTGCAAATGAGAGAAAATTGTGCTCATATGAGCTTTTTCCCTCTGTATTGAGATTTCCAGTTTTCTCGATTTGTAACGCAAAATAGCTAAAAAATTCCAACTTACTGTCTTACGACTCGTGCGTCCACCGCAACTATTATCTAGACTATTAACTATATTCTGGACTATTAACTATATTTTAGACTATTGTCTAGACTAGTAACTATGTTATTGCTATAATCTAGACTATTATCATTGCATCTTACCTCAAACAACTTTCAAGTAGGGAATAATTCACATTTCGAACTCGTGTACTGCATGCATCATTATAAATGTTTTCTCAATAAAACACTGGCAGTCGAAAGCTGCTTAGACAGGAAAAATCGAAAAACCGCAGATACGATGATTAGTGCGATCAATTATCCTTTTAAATGTGAGTTACAGTATCAAATCAGAAATATTGCCACGATCTTGCAGCAACGTGCAGAGCTGTCAAAAATATGGTTGATGGGCCCCTGAGGTTGACGAGAAGCCCTCTCATTGGCTGATGTGATTCTCATTCCTTATTCGGCTGAGGACTTCCGCGGCGGCCAATCAGCGGACGAGTTCGTTAAACAATAAAATCATTAATTTGCTTTTGACAAGCTTTTCTCTCTCGTGTCTTCCATATGATAAACTTATTTGTGCCTAAGCATAATAATGGTGCTTGCCAAAATTAAAATTCACAATGCGTCGCGGACAACGACGGGTGGTGGCTGCTTTAAAGTTAAAGGTCGATCAGTCAGCAAACCAGACTGTATTTTTTTTTTTTTTTTTTTTTACTAATATATAATTTTTGTATTGAACATGAGCTTAGTATGAGCTTTGTAGTTAGACTTTTGGGTGTCAACTTGATTACTTGAAGACAGCTTAAACCAATAAACCGTGAAAGGGTTCTCTTTTATTTGTTGATTATTGATGATTCCCTCACATAATAACTATTTAATAAAGGAAGTTTTGAATTCAATTTGATTAGACTGGCAAAAAAAATTGTTGAAAAATTAGTATCACCGTTATTTGAAGGCATCTATAATAAAACTGGGAACCCTCTAATGCAGTGCTAGATAACAAACTAACAAGAAACAAATGCACATAAAGGCATCGTGTGATTTTGCAAAAAAAAAAAAAAAAACCTAGAAAAATGTGCGAGGTGCGTTCCTCGTCAATGCACCACACTTCAAATGCATCCATCCTCTTTCATTTGCGTTAACATTCCAAAATTCAGCCTCCCTTCCATATGTATCATTTTCTCTCGAAAATAATGTATTGCAGCTTCCGCATATACTTCCATTCTCTTCCTTGGCACGATAGTGAAGCCGCTTCAGACCATAAGATTGAAGTTCTGAATAATAAATAAAAATGCAAAAAAAAGAATAAAAAAAGTTTTATTTCAGCGAAGAATTATTTCAATGAATTTAACGACGTAATTTGAAGATGGCCTTAAATTTTTTAAGTATCTTTATCGGTCTCTGACTTTCATTAGTCTAAACACAGCACGAATTGACTCCCCTTAAAATCTCTACGTAGAAGGCGAGAGAATGATTTGTTTTTGCCCGGCGCTCAAAAATTCCTCAACCTTGAGAAACAATGCATCTAGAGCAAGCGAGAAATATTAAATTAAAACCTCGTTAAGACTGGACTTCACTCCTCCTGCTAACCTCAGCCGCACAAAATTATATCCTTTGGAATGGAAAACGTGTCATTGAGAATGAGATTTTAACACTGTTGTCAAACTGAATTCGTAACAATGAAATGCGACTAGTTTCCCATATTAGAAATGGATGTAAGGATTAATTTAAACTTTTACAACCCCGGCCTAGCGCCTCAGCAGTACGTGACTTGTTAATTTAAGAATTGAGTTGGAATGAGGGAGAAAAGGACTAATCTATAAACGGTTTCTCGATCAGCATATAGGAGTTTGTGAGTCAAGAAAAAACAATCAAAAACACATTTAGGCCAGAGTTCTCAAGGTCGAGACCTTCGGAATTTACGTCTTTGAAATATTTTTGTGGTCTTAATGGCGGGCACGTATTATATTTTGTATAATTCCAACAACAAATAATTTATATGGTAAAAATATTTTTTTTGAAGCAGAATTTTCAAAAATGTTTAACTTAATTTGGACCTTGAAACAAGCTTTCAGGGGGTAGATGGAAGTTTTTTAAGTTTCACTTTCCTCATAACTGATTTTGAACTTGAATAAAAAGTTGAGTAGAGGTAAACTAATATTCTAGCATATATTACTGCATTCAGTGGTAGATTTTGTCGGTGGACTCTCTGGTGAATTTAGACAAATAGATCGATACTGAAACATACAATTCTGTTTCCATGAGTACCCTCCAGGATACTTATTTTCCACACCGGAAAAAATTCTCGGCGTTTTTGCCAAGGTCCGTTGGTACCTTTACCATCTCATTTTTTTACCAATTATTGGTAATTTTACCAAGATAGACTGGTAAGCTTACCTAATAACCGGTATTTTTACTGTTTTTTCCGGGTAAGAATACCACTTTTATTGGTAATCGATTCCCGGTAACTTTGCCATTTTTTCTCGGTAATTCTACCACAGTCGATAAAAAATATTGGCGTTTTTACCAAGGTCTAGTAAAATTACCGAGGAAGGAATTCCATAAATGGTAATTTTACCAAGAAAAAACTGAGATCAAATAGAACCCTGGATTCTTGGTAATTTTACCCTTTTCTTAGTAAATACACTGAGATTTTTTTTTCAGTGCAGACCAAGCGAGCATCATGTACGGAATCTTGTTATTTGTCCGGTCAAAATTAGACAACATGTAAATCTGTCAACAATGGGTGGCTTAATGCATATTCTATCCAATTTACAACGAGAGGCATCGCAACGCAACGTGCTTCCCCTAAAAAGCTACAATGCCGCTAGATGAGCCACAAATAGTAAATTTCATCGGAACTTTGAATAAGGAATTAACTATTCATGGTCTTATCCGGCTGCGGTTGTTGGCGGCTCGCGACAGGCATGAATAGAGCTAGGGTTTTTTTAGAAGCCGGCCCGAAATTCGCTCACGCTATATTGCAATCAATGATGTTAATTGTGTTTTGATTATACCCTCCTGTCTTTGTCCTTCCCGCATTTTACCGAGCTTTAGACCTGTCCTGCGGGTTCAAGCATGAATTCAAAGAGCAGATTTAAAGAATGCTAACGTAAATAATTATATTATTTGTAATAAAAGCATAAACACTCCAAGGAAAGGAAAATTTTGCTCACATGCATATTGAAAGTTAATTCGTGTGCGAGAAGATTGATTTATTTACATTACAATAATGATATCTAAGGATTTTTTTTTAAAAACCCCAATTTAAACAACAATTTTAACATGTGAAAAAATTACTCTATAAAAAAGGAATAAAAAGGAGTCGTCGATTCGCTGTCATTGCGAGACCGAAACTGATTACAAGGCAGGGAATTTGTTTGCGGCCTTTCCCTAGATAAATCTGTTATTTTATTGTATGTTTTGGCTGATTAAATCGTTCTTCATTTTACGGAGGGGATCTTAAATGAGGGGATGATTTAAAATGTGCACTGAAAGTAGATGGGTACAGAGTTTTAGCAATGGATGAGAGTCTTCCTATATGCACTCGATTGTGAGATAGCAATCAAAACATTTACCCCTCTTGAAAACGAACTCTCGAATAAATTGAATTAATTTGCATAAGAGAGACTGCAAGTCCAAATTTTTGAAAGTTTTCAGGATCTCCTGACTGAATGGAAGGATAGAATTTAAAAATAGTGAGAGGCCAAAAGAAGACATTTCATTTTTTCCCATAACATTGATAATATGGCACGAAAGTTGTATGCTTCAGAGGGGCCTGTCGGGCCCTGGGACTGGAGTCCCGGTAACCCCCTTCCCTGTGGGGGCACTGTTGTAACTGCCACTAATTTTCCGCAATCGGCTCGTGCACAAAATTTGTATACCTCATCGATAAATAAACAGAGCCTTTTGAACTTTGTCCCTTTTTTTTTATGAATGATTCTTAAAAATGATTTATACTTAAATCACTAATCAGGTCAGTCTGACGCGCGCAATGATAGTCAGGCAGGACAGTATGACGCTATTTTTGCGGCCGTGCAACCGTGGCGGCAGCATTCTTCCAAAGTATCTCTTCGTTTTGAAGTGCTCTCGTGGCTGGTCTCTTCATTCTGTCCGAATGTAGCTCCTGTAGCTGGTACAAAAACAAGACATTGAAGTTTAGATTAATTGGGGGAAAAGAATTTAGGTATCACGAGTCACTAGACAAGGCCCGAGCTCGAAAGAAACTTTCAGCATTGTTTAAAATAGTTATGCAGGGTGGTTCAGACCACCAGTACCAGGCTTTTTACTCGGTTATTATAGATCGGATGAAGTCACAGAGCGCGGGAACACGAAGGAAATCGACCCCAATATACCGAATTTCATAACCTCCGAGCCCCCAAAGACACCATCGGGGCCAAAAAAGGGACGTAATTTTAAAAACGGGCTTTCCGCCATAATTTTTAAATTATTCTGTCAAAATCAGAAAGTACGAACTATTTTAACCTGAATTGACATTGAGGTCCAAAATTTGCTCGTCCTTGTCGAAAATACTAATCCTTTAAGTTGGAGAACAGAGTAACTCTTCATAAAAAATCAAGTGACTAAATGGACGTAGAGGCATGGGAAAATATGTTTTCCTCGGTAATCGACCCGAGGAAATCCGAATTCAGCTGTCCGAACGCCCCCGAGGCTTCACTGATGGGGCACAGGAAGATCCTAAATTTGTAGAATTTCAAGCTCCCCATAGAACTCGTTTCATTCTAGAGAAACCTATATTTTTTTAAACTACTGAAGAAATAGGATGAAAAAACACGACAGACTTACCTTTTTTTGGCACAAAACCTATTAAAAAGTATAGAAAATAGTGCTCACTGTAGAGTCTACAGGGTGATTCAAAAGTCCCTTCCACCCTCTCTAACTTTTTACCTAATTGAGGTTAACATTTGAAACTTTAACCGGCCGCCATATTGAAACGGTTTGAGATATTGACTTCGGGTTTGCGCGAAAAGTTTTTTTTTTATGCTCTTTTGAACGAGCCATCACAAAGGGGGTCTTCCCATTTGAAAAAAAAGTTGGGGTCCTTCAACTTTTTTTTAGGGGGCCCCCAAGGTAAGCCCCCCCTGAACATTTTAGGGGGGCAAAAAAGTAGCTCCCTTTGACGTAGGAACATTCCCCACGTTTCAAATTTTCACCTCAATCAGGTAAAAAGTTAGAGGGGGTGGATGGGACTTTTGGATCACCCTGTATACAAAAAAAAAAATCAAAAGCTAGCCTGCATATGAATAATTATGTTGTTTTTCATGTTATGCTCATCGTGAATTCTTTAACGCAACCTTGGGTTTTTTTGTCCACAAGTCATAATTGCAAAATGAACCAAAAACACAGCTTTCCGGGCTATCTTGTGTAGCCCACCACCGTTGGTCCTCATTATAACGACGTAGGGCTGCGGATCCAGCTGTTGAATTCTACGCCATGAATTCTACGTGCTTTTTCTATAAACTACGGAATTTTGCAATTCAGAGTGTATTTTAGACAGCTTCAATACGCTCATCTTGATTTTCGGGCAATTTTACCTGCAAGAGTTGCTCCATTAACTGTAACTGTGCACAACCTACCCCGCCTGGAACATGCTCGAATTCTCTTACCATCGTGTTGATTTTGAAAGCAAAGGGTGTTAAGCACTCTCATCAGGTCAAGGCCGCAGTATCTCGAGGCAGTGTCGACCGATTCATTTTGACTGCCGGCTGGAAGCCCATAGACCAGAATCAATACCATGAAAAAGGTTAAGATTAGGCCTGATATAGTTCGCTGGCTGCGCATCTGAAAGGATTATACATCGGTTGTGATGACGGTAAGAAAACAAGGACTCGCGATAAAGGCTTACAACTTTTTATGACAGCGAAAAAAACGCGACTCGAGTCATAATGGTGAATTCTCTGTTTTTTATGCAGATCTACAAAAATACCTCGTAATTGATAGGGATGCATTTGGGAATCAATCGGTATAAACTCGAATAAATAAGGATGCATTTGGGAAACATGCGAATGAATCCAAGATGAATAAATACGAATTGGGATGATTAGAGATAAGCCGTGATGAGACTGATTGAATCAGGTTAAATAGACAGATTTATACTTTTATTTTTCCAATTTGTTCCTCAAGGGTAGTTTACATCAAGGTCAATGCAAAGAATAGAGGGATTTGTAGGAATAATGTATCGACCTGAATGTTTGAAGTATTATTTTTTCAGTCATTAACAAGTTTGATCAGATTCGCAGTTAGTTCCAATCAAGATTACCCACAAAGACTTTTATAACTTGAAAAGTACATGTATATCAAGTAGCCACTAAAACGATTACAAAGGCGATGCTCTACACCGAAAATTAGAGTGTTGAATTAAAATCCTGGTTGTTAAAATAATTGTGTGACGACCTCATAAAGTTTGTCTCAACTGCCCTGGCAGTTAACTTAATATCTTCGAGACGGGAAATCAACAGGAGGGGCAGTCGAGGCAAAAGTTTTGAAATCGTCGGAGGTTTTTAAAAAACTTGGTTATTACCTACTTTAACATCTTAATTTTTTTTGGAGACGTATAGGCGACAAAATTACATATCACGTACCTTTGAATAAACAGAAGTTTGTGTAGAATATAATGGGAAAAGAGCCTGAGACTTTCCTGGACAAAGAGCTTGCAAACAATGTCTTTACTCGATGACTTAAAATTGAAAGTGAAACTGAACTTACTTATTCTTCAAAATGTTTGAGCATGGAGAACTTATCTCTAGTTTTCTGGATCGTGCGTAGTTCGTGGAGGAAATTTTTTTCAGCTTCTCAATTTTTGCTTATCATGTGCGTCAACGGATGAAAGTACTTGCCACTTATCATTTTAAGTCCGAAATAAAATAATGATGAAACTGTGTCAACGGATATTTGCAGCGTAAAGAATGAACTTTTAAAACATTGAAAACATCATTTTTTAGAATAGACTCAAAGTGAAGAAAACCTCTATATTTTAACTCCAAAACATGGAGCCTCATGAAATCATAAAATCTCAAACCTCTTATTCTTGGTTCTAACTTGTGCAACTTGCTGCGTCTTTTTCAAATCCGGCCCATTTTCAGGCTGTTCCAAAAGGTTGATGAAATCATTAAAATTTTGGAAAAATGGTGAAGTTTAATGAAAAAATAACAGTAATGGCATCGTCCATTTAAACAGGTAATTTTGAACGATCTGAACGAGCGGATCATCCATTTTTGGTGTTGCGAGTACCCACTTGATTCTACAGGTTATCCTGGTAGGTTCTGTACCACACAGAAAAAAAGTGTAGGAAGTAATTTCCTAAAATTGTGGTACTACCAAAATTTTCTGGATAATATGGGCATTTCCGATTAATTTTGGCAGTACCGCAACATTTGTGTAGGTAACTTAATTTATTAGGGTACTACCACAATTAATTAGATATGTCCATATTAGCCCGAGAGCCCGATGACGTTATGTGACAGACTCATGACACAAGTTTTGACCCCTTAAAGCAATAGCCTTGCATGCACTGACACTGAAAATGATCATTGGCCACGTTGCAGTGTTTGCCGACACGTGGCAGACAACCATTTTCAGCGTCAGTTTAGATTTAAGTGGTCAAAACGTGTGTCCCGAGTTTGTCACAAAATGAATGAGTTAGTTCGAAAACACACCAACTCGGATTTTTTTCGATTTTCACTTTCTTACGGTTTAGTAACACTTATGGGTAGAAGCATCTGTACGCAAAAGGACATTTCGAAAGTGCGATCGTTAGTGCTCGTAACAGCGACGGGAAAAGGGGAAAATCGAAGTATTTCATTGGAAATATCAATTTTTGGCCATTTCAAGGGAAAACGGGTGACCATCCGATTTTGCGATTTTCTTCTTTCGGTTCAGTATACCTTGTACCAACAAGTTATAGAAATATTCAAGCGTTGTCCAGGTCGAAAAATATGAATGTTTCCGGGCAGACTATGAAAAACCAGTATCTGAAAGTCGGTGAGAACGAAAACACACCAACTCGGAAATTTTTAAACGCTTAATTCTCTGTCATCAAACATGGTGTCTCGATTTGAACTTAGTGCTTTACAAAGTCTCAAAGTACTTGTCCTTTGGCACCAATAAGGTTTTTCTTAAACTAACTTCTTCGCCCGCTGCGCAGTTTTAGATGTTTCCTGAACAATTTTTTCCCCCCGAGTTGGTGTCTTTTCGAACTCACTGATTCAAATGTCGTCGGGCTCTCGAACTATGCCATTCAAAAACCCCGTGTTCTTCTTTTCTGCGCATCTGAACCAGTCAGTTGATAGTTTCACGGAACTTTTTTCCAGTGTATGTAGCTCATGATGAGCATTACACTTGAACTTGATGCGACGAACGCTCATAAACAACTCGACGCGGGAGAAGGCAACACGTATCCGCGACACCCCCGCGAATAATCGCGCGGCGACACCGGCAAAGCACATAGCTCATTATAAATACATCGGTGAAAATGAAGGCATTATCCGGTGCCGTGGCGGTAGTGGTGGAGGCGGCAGCGGCGATGTGTAAAAGTATCACCTTTACGGAGCGCGATTCTGATTCTGGGTCACTAATGACCTCCACTCTAATGTGCTTTTCCGGCTCGCGGGATCACGACAAACAGGTAATGAGTCGACTCATACATTCCTGTCACTTGGAGTGAAAAAAAGAGAAAAAAAAAAAAAAACAGACGGAGGAAAATAATATCGGGAGGAGGGGGAAAAGGGGGGTACACCATCGCTCGTCCATAGCCGGTAAAGCCTCGCGCTGATGGTGCTTCGTACGGTGGCGAAGCGCGAATGATCGATTATCGACATTTCCACATTTGAAGCTATGATAAAGAATCGATTATCAAGGTGTTTGTAGCGAACACCCTGTTTATCGATCCTCTTCCATCGGTTTAAATGGCGAATCAATCGATTTATCACGAAGCACGCCACGCCACGCCACTGATGTTGAATCAGTCGGAGACCAACGGGAAAGCGTGTGTCATTTGGATATCCTGCCATTTAAATCTTTTTATTGTAATATCTTAAATGAGAATTATGTAGTATCCGAAGAGAAGCTATGTCCAAGACGAATATCCCTTCGATTTTGTAAAACTGTGTACTTTACGAAATAAATGATTTGAATCTTTAGTAAAGAGTCGATTTCTGAGGTGATCGTAGCGAAAACTCCGTCAATCAATCATTTTCTGTGGATTTATAAGGAAAATCAACAATTTCATTGCAAATCATGCCTCTTCGCACAGTAGTCGGGGACTGGGGACTGATATAATCGGTTAGTATCGAAACACCGATGACTCCCTGATGACCTGTGGGAAGACCGAGTTTTGTGGAGAATTGGGTGTCGCAAAGCGCCAAAGAGTGCTATAAAAGCGACTCATGTATGTATGTATGTAGTATCGAACCACGATTAGTATTGTATTTACGTTTAACCTTTGTCTTTCATTATTTATTCGACCGACTAGCAATAAAACCCGGGTTCCACAAGTGTGTGTTATACACCTTTTAAAACATTCAGTTAGTCGGGAGTATACACGCGCAGATGACGTGAGCTCTGCTACAGCCTGATTTTTGAAATTTTGTGTCTGTCGACCGGTTAACACGAGATTACAGAGAATGGAGTCATGTGATTGGTCGGGGCTCTGAGTCGTGCGTCTTGCCCGAGTGGGTCGGAATTTGAAAGGATGGATAAATCATCTACAACTCAAGAGGTGTCTTTTGATTCTTGTTGATTACACCCTTTATCGGTACGACTAGACGCACAACTCAGAGCATCGGCCAATCACGTAACTCCATGTTCCTTAATACTGTCTTATTCGGCGAGAAACACAACATTTCAACAATCAGGATGCTGGAAAGATAGTCATGAACATAACTGAAACGAGGACGTCTCTAGAATCTGATCATAGATATAGACGGACACAGCCAGAGACAAACTCATCTCTATGTACAAGAAGTCTATCAAAATGATGCCATGACTAGCTACTCACTCAGTTTTTCCGCCGAGGGGGTATTCAATTCACTGACACTTATTCACCCAATTCTTTTTAACTCACGGATATTTACTCACAACTCTTTTAACCTGCGTGTCTTTTCACCTATATGTACAAGCCTCTTCATCAAGTTTCAAAAGTTAGAATTGATGCCTACATGACTGGAACAACAAAAAACTGGAACTACAATACTGAAGTAAGAAATCAAGTTCGCCTTCAATTCGATGGACGCAATTTGAGCGACTCAGGAGTTGATATAGTTGTATCACATATCTTAGATTAGCATGATGTCCAGGAACGAGTGAATTTCGCGTTTTCAATAACAACCCCAGCGAAATATGCGATTACTTTTACTCGATTCTCTCCACCGAAAAATATTCTGATATTGTCATTGAGAAAAGCTGCAAAAGTTAGAATTGAGCACCAATCTCGCGGTCATGCCTACATGAATGGAAACTGGAGTTAGAAATCAAGTTCGCCTTCAATTCGATGGACGCAATTTGAGCGGCTCAGGAGTTGATATAGTTGTATCACACATCTTAGATTAGCATGATGTCCAGGAACGAGTGAATTTCGTTGTAATCTTCGTGTTTTTAATGACCATCGCAGCGAAACGTCTAATAACTTTTACTCGATTCTCTGCACCGAAAAATATTTTGTTTTTGACATCGAGATAAGCTGCAAAAGTTAGAATTGAGCACTACTCTCGTGGACACGTTTGAATGACTGAAAAAGGAGTTAGATTTGAACATCGCCTTCAGCTCGACCTTTCCTACGACTTCCAAGGGTCGTGGTGTACAAAACGTGTAGGTAAGGATACCTGATTTGCAAAAATTCATGTTTACAACAGTGCATGCACTGAAAAAATTGTTCTGTTCATAGGGCTCCTGCTCTATCTTTGTCACAGCTACATAGAAGTTTCCGTTATGAGGACAGAGTGCTCTGTCCCCGCACGCTCGAAGCTCTGATCTCACAGCAGAAATGATTTGTAAAAATGACTAAAAAATGCAGGAGCCCTATGAACAGGAGGTTCTATCATCAGCTCCGACTATTTTTTGCGTGTGGGGGTATGAATGATGTGGGTGAAAAGGCCAGGGCGAATTATAGTGTGGGTCAAGAGTCTGTGGGCGAGCAGTCCTGGAATCATCCAAATAATGCCAGAGACGTTTACAAATTTCTGCCTCAAAGTATTGTAGATTTGGCAAAGCAAAGAAGACCAAGGAAAAGGCGACTGAGACTCAACGTATACGACCATGAAAAGTTGGCCGCGGCGAAGGAGCTCCAAGTCTCGGTCCTGGAATTCTCAGAGACTTTTGCAAAAAAGAGCGGTGCTACCTGGACGTCTTACGCCTATGTGGAAATCTCACTTTTTCCCAGAGAGGGGTAAGTTTACGTTCGTTCGAGACCTAAAACACACATATTACGGGGGTTCGGGGGCTCATCCAAAATCGAGCCGGGTGGTTTTTGAAAAATCCAGGTGCGGGCAGGGAGCCGAGATAAGGCTGAGCAGGATCATTTCTTCTTGTCCGGCGAGACACGGCCGGGCACTTAGAGCGAATAAGACATCAACTGGACGTCCAGGTCCCCGGGATATTAATCGCTCCGCCGGCGAGCGACACCGTTTTTTGATGCGTGCAACGGACGTCTGGCGGTGGCCATGGCGGGGGCAGCATCTTCTGCAGCTCCCTACGCCTCTGTTGCTTTTATCCGTGTGTGAAA